CTCCTCGTCGGGTGTTCCCCGGATTCTCTTCGGAGCCTCTGGCTCCCTTGGCTCGGGACCCCTTGTTGTGTCCACCTGTTCGGGCTGAACTTGTTATGGCTGTAGGTCTTTGAGGGTTATGTTCGTCCCAAGCTCTCCGGCTAGAAATTTGGCCGCTAATATTGCTCCGAGGCTCCTGCATCTGGAAGTGTGATGCCCGATGGTCTTGTGATGCTCGCAGTATTCTTTTTCGTCACCTGGGGGTTGACATCTTGTCCAAGTGAATGAATCTCTTCCTCGCCCACGGCCTACGTCGACTTGATAGTTGTGGGCTCCTGAGAAAACGTGCCCCTCGTGGTGCGTGTACGTTTCACTCTGATCCGGCTTCTTCTGGCTCAGCGGTCCTGTTTGGGCTGCTTGCTTTGTCGGCTCGTGTCTCTTCGTTAGTAGCTCCATCTCTTCTTCGTGGGCGACGAAATCCGAGGCTCGATGCAGCGCGTCGCGAATTGTTGTCGGTTTAGACAGGTTCAACTCTTTTCTAAATTCTGACTTGTACCAGAGAGCTTTCTTCAAAGCCGAAAGGGCGGCTACATCTGTGATTCCTTCGACCTTGGCTAGCGTCGATTTGAAAGTTGTGAGGAAATCTCTTAACGGCTCGGTGGGTTGTTGAGACAGAGACCACAGATCTGCGTCGGAGGTTCCGGGGTCGATGAGCACGGAGTATTGCTTGAGGAAAAGTGTCGACAGCTCGTCGAAAGTGTCAATCGAGTTTCGTTCCAATCTTGAAAACCACTCTAATGCGGGTCCTTTGAGGTGTTCCACGAACAGTAAGCATAGACCTGCATCCTTTTCCCCGGGCTTGAACCTGGCTCGGGCCACATATATCACGAACGATTTAATGTGGCACTTCGGGTCGGTTGATCCGTTGTAAGAGTCGATTTTGAACTTTCCCAGATTGGACATCGTCGTTTCGGAAATTCTTTTGGTGAAAGGCGTATTCCGAGATTCTTCCAAAATTCGGTCGATGTTCGGTGCGGAGGATGAAACGCTATGTATCTGGGTTTTGACGAGCTTCATATCAGCTTCCGCCTTTGCTAGGGAGGCTCGGATCTTGCTTAGCTCGTCTTCTCTTTCGGATTCTTTGGCCCACCTTATGTTTTCCTCAGTTTCTTCGTCATCAGTAAGGTCCGTTCGCTCGGCGGAGTTAGCTCCGGCTCGGGTGCGCTCGTCTTGCAAATCATCTGGCTCGTCCGTCACGTCCGCTGCGTCTGGCTCGGTGGGATCATCTTGGTTCTCGCGTCTGGCAGGGTCGGGTCGGGTTGCGACTCAGGTGTTGTCGGTTGGTGTCGCGAACGTGAGTCTTGTTGGGTTGATGCCAGGCAAGTCCCTCCGAGCTCGTGGCGGCCGAGTCTGGAAACGCGTGGTTTTTTGTTGCCCACGTGTTGCGATTTCGTCGACTCGCTGCGCCAAGGTTTTGTTAGCTTTCTCTTGGTCGTCAGCTTTCTTCTGGAATTTAACCATCAGGTCTTTCAGTTCGGCTAGAGTCGCTATGATCGTCGGATCGGCTTGAGGATTCTGAGGGTTCGGAGGGTTCGGGTTCCCTCCTCCAGCTGGTGGTGTCTGACGACCATCTTCGTTCATCGTCCTTTTCGGTAATCGAGTTTTGCGTCTTAGGGTAAGAGAATTCTAAAGTATCCCCACAGACGGCGCCAAACTGTGGAAGTCGAAACTAACACAATCGAGATTTGTCTAGGGTTTTAATTTAGGGATACGATAAATGTGAATTCTCAAAGAACAACAGAAACAATTGTAACCAAAGATGGTTTTCTTGATCTTATTGATGAAAAAGTAGTTTTGATCGTACAAGAGTTTGATCGTAAAAGAAAAGATGTTTGTGCTATGAGAGCTTTGCGTAGTGTAAATTCTAGAGCGATATTGCTTGTCCCCTTCTGTGAGAGCCTTGAGTCTTATATAGGAATGGTAAACCGCCTCTCCAGCGATATTCTCGGAAGATTTCCATTTATCTTGAAGTCCGCTTAGAATATCGCGGATTAGGATAGTTTCCTAATTCTTCGGGGTTTCCGGAAGTTTTCCTGATTTGAGTTGATCCTTCGAGATTCTCCCTTATCATTTCCGGGCATTTCAGAAATGATCCCTCTTTTTCGAAAATAATGCCGTTCTTTTCGGATGTGATACTATGGAAGTGAATTTTTAACCAAGTCTTTGCCTCGGGTGACTCTGAAGACTTCACCTCAGGTGACTCTGATGACTTCACCTCGGGTGAAACTGAAGACTTCGCCTCGGGTGACTTTGCAGATTTCGCCTCGGGTCACTCTGAAGACTTTGCCTCGGGTGAAACTAAAGACTTCGCCTCGGGTGACTTTGCAGACTTCGCCTCGGGAACAATACACATTTCACCTCGGGTAGCACTGAGACTTTACCTCGGGTAGCACTGAGCCTCGGGTAGCACTGAGACTTTGCCTCGGGGTAACTGCAGTATAAGGCTCGGCAGTGTACCCCGAGCTGACTGTGTACCCCGAGCTGACTGGCAGACTGACTGGCAGGTTACCCGAGCTGACTGGCAGACTGACTGGCAGGTTACCCGAGCTGACTGGCAGACTGACTGGCAGGTTACCCGAGCTGACTGGCAGACTGACTGGCAGGGTACCCGAGCTGACTAGTAGACTGACTGGCACGGTACCCGAGCTGACTGGCAGACTGACTGGCACGGTACCCGAGCTGACTGGCAGGGTATCCGAGCTGACTGACAGGGTATCCGAGCTGACTGACAGGGTATCCGAGCTGACTGGCAGACTGACTGGCAGGATACCCGAGCTGACTGGCAGACTGACTGGCAGGGTACCCGAGCTGGCTGGCAGACTGACTGGCAGGGTACCCGAGCTGACTGGCAGACTGACTGGCAGGGTACCCGAGCTGACTGGTAGACTGACTGGCAGGGTACCCGAGCTGACTGGCAGATTGACTGGCAGGGTACCCGAGCTGATTGGCAGATTGACTGGCAGGGTACCCGAGCTGACTGGCAGATTGACTGGCAGGGTACCCGAGCTGACTGGCAGACTGACTGGCAGGGTACCCGAGCTGACTGGCAGACTGACTGGCAGGGTTTCCGAGCTGACTGGCAGACTGACTGGCAGGGTATCCGAGCTGACTGGCAGGGTACCCGAGCTGACTGGCAGATTGACTGGCAGGGTACCCGAGTTGACTGGCAGGGTACTCCGAGCTGATTAGCAGGATAACCCGAGGTGTTGAAGTTTGGCTCGGTCTCAAAGGATGGGTGAAATCCGACCCCAACAAATATCATTAATACTTAATAGATGAAAAAGTTAAAAATTATAAATACTTTAAATTGATTTTCTTAAAACAAATATATTTAAAATATTTATAATACGTTGTGGTTAAATATAATGAATTATATGATGTAATGAGTTATGATCCTTAGAACTATTTGAATATTTTATTTAGTATTCTTTTTTTAAAATTCATAATTCTATATACTACAGTAAAAATTTAAATATTTTAGTTTGGAACATTTAAAATTAGTTTTATATAATGTTTTAAATAATATCATAAATATTTAATATATTAAAAAGATAAAAATTATAAATACTCTAATTTGATTTCTTTTTTTTTTTTGACATCTTTGGATCGACAAAGCCCGATCCATAGCCAATCCCTACTACGCGGAGTAACGTGACTTAGTGGAGTCGAACTCCGGTGGAGAAGGCGGAGTCAAGTGTACTTAACCACTTGACTAAAGGCACATCCCCACTCTAATTTGATTTCTTTTTTTCTTTTTATTTTGACATCTTTGGATCGACAAGGCCCGATCCATAGCTAATCCCTACTACGCGGGGTAACGCGATTTAGTGGAGTCGAACTCCGGTGGGGAAGGCGGAGTCAAATGGACTTAACCACTTGACTAAAAGCACATCCCCCTCTAATTTTATTTCTTAAAACAGATATATTTAAAATATTTTAGCAGATGGCAGGTGAAATATATTATATTATATGATAGGAAGAGTTATGATCTTAACAACATAATGCATGTTAAGATTATATGATGAGATATATTAAGTAAGATTTGACACATCTAAATATTGAAAATTTGATTCTGCAAGCAATTTTAAAAATAATGAATGATAGATTTTGCTGGCAATATTTTTATTGCGATTCTAAAATAAAAATATAGACTTCATGGACGGATTGAATTAAGTTATGCGAATAATTGTTAAATTCTGTAATTACCTCAAACAAATCTTTATTTCAATAACCAATGAATTAAAAATTGAAAAATGAAATTTCTAAATTAATTTAAAATAATAGCTAACTTCCTTAATTAACTCAAAATAATCTACTTTTTAGATGCGAATCATTTATGATATTTTAATTTTTGATCTAACTGAATTATATGCAATCTCATTTTGCTGTTTTTAACATAAATTAACTCATTGTTCAAACAATATTAATTGTTTTAAAAATAATATTACTTTCCATTTTCATATCTTAAAAAAATTATCCATAATTGAGTATTATATAAAAAATAAAATACATTCATTCAAATATTATATATAAGAATTGACCAAAAAAATTATTATTTTTTCACTTACTACTATTATATATCAAAACTTTATTCTAAAATATATAATCTATAAATTTTGTATTAAATAAAATTCAATATGTGTTGTAGTACGGTCATGATCTAGTTTCTCACTATTTATTTGAACAGTTAATGTAAAATGCTAAAGAATGTAGTATATTATTTTTTATATTCTAAATATGAAAGTTAAATTCAAGACTTTCAAGAGTAATCAGTTAAAAACAGAAAAGCAATATCTAAAAATAACCAACTTTTACTCCAATGCAAATGAATTTGATTTTCTTCTCCTCTCAAGATTGAATTAGTCTTCTACTAATTATGCAAATTAAAATATCAGAGCTAACTTATCAAATAACACTTCAATTTTTTTTATCAATCACAAGAAAATAAAAAAAATTGCATGAGCGGTTAAGATTTAAATTTGACCACACGTGTATATAACTTTGTAACACGATGTCTCTCTATCTCTCTCTTCTTTGTTGATGTGTTTAAGGTTTCTAAATCTCATTTTTTGTGTCTCCTTAAAATTTTCTCAGAAACATCTCCGTCATTTGTTCCTTAGTTTTGTAATCAATCTTCACGATTCCTCAGGCACTGTACTTGGCAAATCTCTGTCATTTTTTCTCCTTCATTTTCTCTCACTCTCTCCCAAAAATCCAGTACTTCTATATTATTTTAGGTTATCTTTAATTTTGATTTCAATTTTTTTGGTTGGATTTTTCTAAATAGTAATGTAATTTCAGGTATCATCATCCAAGGTCATATGAGAACAGGATTGGTGTTCTCGAACGATCGGGTGCGATTTCTTGATTTTTAATTTAATTTGAACATTTCTTAATTCTCTCATATGTGTAGATTGATTTGGCTCAAAACTGATATAATTTCCTAATTATGTTTTCTTTTTTCTCATCAAAATAATTAAATGTTCATTATGTTTCTTTTTTGTTGTTGAGAAAGTTGATATAATCTGGTTGATTCAAAGGATGATCTAAATGGTCATTTGCCTTGTTCTTGGTTTCTTTTGTTTAAAGCTAAAACGTATATGATTGTGTGTTTCTTGTGCTTCAAGATATATCTTACATGTCCTTTTCCTTGTTCTCTATGTCTTAATTACCATTATTCATTTTTTTATAGTGTTCTGTCTTGAAAAAGAATGGCTTCAACGCCTTGTGCAGCATGCAAGCTCTTGAGGCGTAAATGCACTCAAGAATGTGTGTTTGCGCCGTATTTTCCACCAACTAATCCTCAAAAGTTTATCTTTGTTCACCGAGTCTTTGGAGCAAGCAATGTAACCAAGATCCTTAACGATCTCCCACCTGATCAACGCGAAGACACTGTTAATTCCCTCTTTTATGAAGCCGAAGCGCGTATCCGTGACCCAATCTATGGATGTGTTGGTCTCATCTCTTTTTTACAACAATACCTCAAGAAAATCCAACAAGATCTTGTCACTGCTAAAGAAGAGCTCGCCGGTTACATGGGACCTGATGCTGTGATTCCGCCGCCTTATCTTCCTGCTCTTGGTAACAATCCTCCACCAAATTTCATGATGTCTATGGAAGGAATGCCACCTGGAGTGATCCCTCAAGGAGAACCGTTGATGATACGTGAACCAAACTTGTCTCAGCAACATCATCAACATCAACCGCAAGACGAGCAGTTGCAATTCATAGCTTCTGATGCACAGAGAATGGCTGCAATGATGTTGGATAGAGGAGATCAACAAGGGATGTTCAATGGTTACGGAATAGACAACAATGGTTCGGTTACAGCCACGGGTTTCAACCAAATGGATGTGAATGATCATGGCGCTAGTGGGTGGTTGTCTGGACCATCTCTTGCTTTAGGAAGCTTTGGTGATGCTTTTCAAATGGGTCAAGAGACAGAACATGGTCATATCAACCATGATCAGCTTCAGACACAGCTTATGCTTCAGCCTCCACTACAAGAAGGTCAAGAGCAAACAGAGGAAGGACAGTTTCTGATGCAACCAATGGGACAAGAGAATCTCCATGAAGAAGAGGAAGAGGAAGAGCTTGAGCCACCGATTAAATGGAGGAAGTCTGAGAGCAAGGAAGCTAGTTATTAAGACCTAAATGCAATAAGAAGACAACATACATTTTCCTTTTCTTGGATAGTTTACGTACTTACTCTTGAGGATCTAATTTCTTTTTTTAATCAAATGGCATTATTCATTTATCACCTTTTGCACTTACAAATTCAGCATTCTGAATATGCATCCCTTCTCAACATCGACATAGAATTTGATCCGCGGATGACTCGGATTTCGAGCTGTCCAGCTTTTTCAGATAATTTATGAAGCCAACCAAAGCAAGAAAGTGATCATACAATCTCAACATGAAACCTGATTGTGATAGAGGTTTTACTTGTAGTCATGAGGGATATGTAATGACAGTAATGCCTCTCATATTTTACTCTTCTTCTTATACTTGTTAATTATTCTCTTTTTTTTTTTTGGTAAAATGTGAAATATTTATACTATTTTTCCATTAGAAATTACAAAGAAGCAGAAAAAAAAAAAAAATTCTACAGAAAAACAGACAATAACAGAACAACAAAAGAGGATAACGTATGTTCAGAGCGGAAACGAAAGAAGAAACACTAATTCTGAGAAACCAAACTCACAAAGATGCGTGATTTTGACAACTCTAAGGAGCTGGAGTCCCATCATAGTTGCCACGAGCAAACTTCTACTTGTTAATTATTCTTCTTGTTCCAAAATATTTCCAAGTTTCCAACAATATTAAGATCAAAAGAGTTAATGATCATGAATTACCGATTGAACTCGAGATCCATTAGCTGAGCAGAGAGATTATCCATGTCTTCTTTATCTTTTGTCCTTCCACCCTCATCAAATTTTCCATTTTCTTCCACCACTTATAATTCTGTCTCTCGAAAACGTTTATAAATCTTCGAATCGAAAGAAACGGTTTTGTGAAGTTACGAACGGAAGCGCATAGTAAATATAGGGTTTATAAGGATGAAACCAAGAATAACAGTTATTTTCGTATATATAGAGTTTTGGTATCACTATTAGTAAAAAATCAGAGTGGCGCAGCGGAAGCGTGGTGGGCCCATAACCCACAGGTCCCAGGATCGAAACCTGGCTCTGATAGAGTTGCTTTCGAAATTTTTGGGATTTTTAAATTTTGGGCCAGACACGGCCCAGTAAGTTAATATACTGGGTCTTTAATTAGGAGACAGACCCTATTTAATGTCTCTACGCTGCATGTAATCTTTTATGCAATTTTCCGTGTCTCATATTATTTGTTTTTTTGGTGGAAACAGCAAAAGACAGGTAAAATCCGACTAAATTTTGTTTTCGTATCTACACATGTTGTAGCACACATATATTTTACATTAAAAAAAACAGGTAAATCTACTCTGATTTTTTCTCTTTCTCTTCTCTACCATGTTGTAACTTGTTCTTCATCAGTAAAATCTTCTCATGAGTTGTATTATACGCTCCCTTCGATTTATCTTTAAGACTACCCAATTGCTTCTGTATTTGATCTCCGTACTTGTCCCACAACTTTGGAACTGTCAAGCCCATCACCAAACCTGTACTAGATCAGATAATCACGAAACATGAATCATATCTATTTGATACCATCTTGACAAAAACCTAGTTTAGTGTTGTCTTAATGTACTTTTTCAAAGATTTTAGACTTATACAGTATGATATTTTGATAGAGTTTGGACTACTATGCATAATTATCGTATATAACATTTTGAAAAAAAAAACAAAAAGTGTGACCATTTGAAATGATTATCACTATCATTAACCGTTAATCATATACTAGATGAATTAAACTAACGAATCAATATAATAGTTGATTAATCAGTATTATAGATTAGTTGTATACGACTAAATTAATTAGTTACGTACCGATGAAGAGACAAGTATGGAAATCAAGAAGGTTCCCAATTCTTGACAAGACCCAGAAACCCAAAACGGTTCTCGCGAGAACAAACCATTCACTCTCAGCACCAACTCGAAACATCCATCTAACCGTTTCTTCCATTAGCATCCGACAAGACCTCACTGTCTCCACTACAAACTCCTCCGACACTTCTAACCCTGATAATTCCGGTTCTACTCTGTCCGAAAATTAATCAACAGAAAAGAAAACCATTTTAGATATAGACCATCTTTAAACACTGTTCCGTTAAAAACAGGACTTATTTATAACATGAACAACTAGTGCATGTGAAATTAAACATATCCGATTCAGAAATTATTTTTAATATAAGAATTTCTTTTATTATTGGGGTCTCTTTAAGTTTTTTTTTAAGAATCTTTTAAAACAACAAATTTATCTTAAATAAATTATTTGCATGAGATCTTCAAATAGTTTGAAATGGAAAATTAATTACTTGCTGAGAAGGCGAAGTAAACTCCCCCAGAGGAAAACCATAGAGACGACGGCGATGCCGATCCACGATATAATGGTTATGGTAGTGAAACCATAAAAGTTGAGTAAAATCCATGTCGATGTTGAGACCGAGAGTATAGAGAAGGCCAGTTTCTTCCTCCTCCATAAGATAATATCCTCGACAATATCTTTGATGTAATTTATGAAACAAAGGAAAAAAAATAGAATTAAAGTAAGTGTAAAAAAAAATCAGAATTCATTAGTCGGTGAAGAATTTTATAGTTTTGGCATTATGTTTCTTAAACTATTTTTTTCTTACCAGATTTGGGTGATGGATCTTTGGTCACGTCGTTGGCCATGTCTGTTTTTGATATAGCTGAAAGATGGATATTAAAAATAAGAAAATTATAGCTTATGATAATTTACTGGAATTTGATAGACTTTGGATCGGATTGCAAGCGAAAGATTTCTCAATAACTCTTGGTGTAACACGTCGTGGTATGGTTGTGGTGACGTGGAAGTCATGCATGGTTGATATGTGTTGCTTGATAATCAAACTACGTTCTGATGTTCAACATGAAGCCATGTACGACTAGGACTATTCGGTGACGAGTAAATTTGGAGGCTTTAGGTCGTTCACTTCAATAGTAAATTTGATGATTTGAATAATTATAGAAAAAGTAGAAATAAATAAATAATGTCGACGAATTACGAATTGTGTGAAGTTAATCAAGTTAACGCAATTCAATTTCCAGATGATTGTTTCGCTTTCTCTAATATCTTGAACGAGTTTATATTATTTAGAAATCTATTTAGTTTCTTCTCCTATTCTTTTAATTTTTGCGTTTTAATTATTTCACTCGTTCAGTTTAATAAAACTTTTCTGTTTATAAATTTTTATCTTCTTGACTAGGTAACCAAGACTTATCAAATTTAATTGTTTCGTTGACAAAACGAATAATTTAAATGATTTACGATTTTATCATTCGGCATCTTGAAAGTTTTATACCGATACTCAAAGAAGTACGTATTGGAAAAATGCATCTTTAAATAGACTGGAATTTTTAAATAAATATAAGTTTTCCAAAAATAAAACAAATTTTCCCATAGAATCTCGAAAAAAAAAGGAAACGTGAAAAAATAAAAATAAAATGGAAAAAACCTCTAAATTAGCATTGGAGACAGTGAGAATTTAGAATTTGACGGTTCTAGGAGGCTTCATCGGATCGAGTTCATGATCCTACTGTTTTCTTATAATACATGCCTTTAATTATAAAAAAAAAACAGTACATTAACTAATTGATCTGAAGAAGAGCAACATGAAAAAACCGAGCTTATTGGTGACGCATTCTTGTGTGATTAATTAACCCGAGCTTTTAGGGATGCCTCGCCATGTTCACAAGTTACCTTCAGTTTAGTTCTTTAAAACCAATGCTAGTTGGTGTATCGTAGCATATAGTTTTTTTTTTTTTTCTTGTACCATATAGGTTCTGTTTATATCTAGGCAATTACATTCATAAATTTGAGTAAACGAAATCCATGTTGAGCCAAAAAAACTTGTTTTTTTATCAATTTGGTTTGCCAACGAAGTTAATATTAATTAGCTGCAATTTAGCATGTAAAAAAGTCAAATGAATGAATAAATTTTTTCATATTTAAAGTAGGATGAATTTTCATGATTCTTCGAGTTTTTTTTTTTTTTTTTTTTTTGCCCTTTTTTATATTTATGAAAACTTGTAATCTCAGTCAAATTCCACGATCCAGTGGTGCATTAAATGAGAAGCGGCTCGTGGCGGTCATGACTATAACTTTTCTTTTACTAACCAAACGCCATTCCACAACTTTATTTTATACAAAAAATATATTAATACAATAATACTTTTGATGCAAATCCCTACATAGTACATATGCAGGCCCGGTCCGCTACCAAAACCCAAGAAACAAATGTGTTGGGCCTCCAAATTTTTAAAGACTTTTGGTACTAAAATTAGGCCTCAAGAATAATTTTGTATTGCAAAAAGAGGCCTCATTTTTCCACAATTTTAAAATTTAATCTCAAATTTTAAATTTTATCTATTTTTTATTGCAAAAATAGGCCTCATTTTCTAAAAATTTAAGATTTAGTCTCATTTTAAAAATTGTCTACAAAATCCATCTAATTTTTTTTTTTTGCCATGTATTGGGCCTCTAATATAACAGGGCCGGGCCTGTACATATGTAGTCAGATATATATGCTACATAGTTCATGTTTATTACATGTATTGGTTTGTATATCTTGTATGCCGGTTTAGTGTAAACCAAAGCTAACCTTTATACAAGTTCTTGATTTCATTCTAGAAGTACTGCGAATTACCGCAGCGTATCTTCCTGTGCATAGTTCATAATGTAGATAAAATAATTTCTTACATAGATGAACACCGCAGTTGAAATGTGTTTAGTGTTAGCACTCCTAAATTGTTTCTCAATAAATTCTGCGTGATAATGAAAATTCATTGAGATTATTCTATTATTGTTTTAGGTTCAACAATTTATTTGAAAATAGGTCTACCATGATTCATATATACACTTAGTCCTACCACAATAGGTAACTATTTTGCCGAGTAATGAAATTATAACTCATATATATGAAAAACAAAATTTACAGTGATGTGAATGTGGTGTACACCACAATAATTCATACATTTTTTATTTTATCGATCATATTTTCACAAAGCCCATATAAAATTCGATTTGCATTTAAGAAAAAAGAAAAAAAATGTTTGCGGCAATTGCATGAAGTACGGCGCAAAAGAACATTGGTGCCTTTG